TAGCTGCTAAAAGCCATTAAAATTTCTTAATCACTAACCAAACCTTCAAAAACTTTAAAAGGAGTAAATTCTATTGAAAGTAAAATTCTACTGAAAGCTACTGAACAGATACATAGTTCCAAGAATTCTTTCCAGAACAGAGGAAAACTCCACAATATAGGCAAACAGACACTGTACAAATCTTCCACAACAAGAAAATAAAACACTAACCAATTATTTCAGATTTTCTTTAAAATATTTTCAGCAATTCCCCTCACACACTAGGAAGTATCTTCAATCAAGATTTCACAAATCAGAAAAGGAGTGAACATCAAAAACTTTGTTGCAAAAGCTAAACTTTTAAGAGCTAAACAAGGAGGAAAGCAAAGAGAAAACAATATTAGAAGGAGCTAGAAGAGAACTGGAGTGAGAAGCTCTGTGTCCAGAACTTTAATAAGTGAGGACAATCATTTTCTTGAAGCCACCAATACAAACCATCCTTACTACTGCATTTCCTCCTCTCAGATACTTACACCATTCATACTATCTAAACATGCAGCATCCATCACAGTTAACAAAAGCCTTACTTCAGACTGGGGAAAAAAATAAAAAAGGCAACAAAAATTATTCCTCTGAAGATGCAAACTGCCTGCTCTGAGAGAACAGGGCTGACTGCATAGTCCCACAGTCATCCTTGAGCTACCTCTGGCACAGTAAATTAAAATAACTTGCTAACTCAGTAATAAAACCAACCACTCCTGAGTAGGTGAAGCTTTCTGCTGGATTAGCAAAAAGAACTGGTGAGCCAACTTGGGAAGCACCACAGCCTGGCACAAGAACATGCAACTGAGAAGAAAGTAGCAAGAAGGACACATCCTTTTAGCAGTGAGAGGTGCTTGACTGGCTCTGACAATCTGCCTAACTGCACACTGAGCAGGGTACAATACAAGTGACTTTTCCTAAACCAAACAGACTTAGTGATGAGTATCCTCACAGTACAAAGGCATTAAACGAAAAAGAAACAAAGCTCTAACAAATCGACAAGAACTGGAAAATAACCAAAACGGATTCTTCAAAGCTAGAAGAGGATAAGGGTCTTGAAGAGGATAAGTCTTGAAGAAACAGGTGTCAAGAGAAGCAAGACATAGAAGCGTTAGAGTCCATTTAGCCTAGTTTCAATTCCTAGAAAAACAGCTAGATACTCATGTCTTAACCACATGGAAAATAAGATGGCAGAAGCTAATAAACACAAACACATTAAAAAATACCCCACAAACAAACAAAAAGAAAACACACCAACAACCAAGTCAAAATAATCTTTCTTTCTACGACAGGAGGACAAGTACACACCTTGATATTTGCATTATGCTCTCAAAATGCTACAGAAACATGGTCTAGTAACAGCAAAGAGTTTTCACTTGTCTGTGTCCCCTCAACTCTCCCTATGAAAGGACCGACTCGGTGGCACAAAAACAAGGTCTTCCCTTTGAACACAAGGTGTGCTTAGGAGACCCGCAGGAAACACCACGCTGCACGGCTACTGCAGGAAAGGATCAAAACTAACAAGATCTTTGATAAACTGGAGAAGGGCTGTGAAAACAGAGGATAGCGATAGATAATTAACTGCAGAAACATGAAAAGAGAGGGACTCAGCAGGAGCTGCTGCCAGAGCAGATCACAAAGCGCTCTGGGAAAAGGCACGAATAGATAACAAAGAGCAATCATCTGCAAGACACTTGAAGCAATCTTCTCATACTCCTTGACAATAATACACCAGGCAGACACTGCATTTTCAGTACTGTATTTTAAGAAAAATGAGGAATATTGAAGAGAGCATATGGGGGGAAAAAAAAAGCTGTTAAGCAATCTTCAAATACAGAGAACATCGAAAGAAATTATAAATTATTTGCTTTGTCCACTAAAAATCAGAATAAAAGGTAAGAGGACAAACAAGGAAAAAGAAAAAAAGAAGTTTTTTCAGATTTCTTCGGGAAGTTTGGCATCACCTACAGATCTTCAGCAAACACACCACACAAGCACTTGTCAGATAAAGCTGAAAAACATTCAATCTTGTCTTGAAAACAGGAATTGCTGGGTACTGCTCAGCATTCCACTGCACCTGTACTAAGTAGCTGCCTACGGAACAAGACTGAAGCCCGGTAAAACCAATGCACTCAGTACTGTTACAGTTAAACACAAAGTGTGCACTCCGAGATTTCAGCAAGGCAATAAAGATTTGCACTCGCCCAGCATGAGGACATGGTAACAGGTTCAAACTGTAAGAGGTACTTGCCTCAACAGCACTAAACTCACGTAAGCTGCAAGGGGGCGGCAAAAGCTGATTATTTTTGTTCTTGGAAATCCTCGTAAGAGTCTCACAAGTAAGACTCAGAGCTGCCCAGGAAGTGATGCAGCTGAGGCCCTCTACACAAATGACGGAGCCCGGAACAGCAAGCGTCTTCCACTGCCTGAAGGAATGACTTGCTGGCTACAAGGATATCTAGACTAATTCAGTTTTGCCCAGTTATAGAAACAGTCCGACTCAAAGCTGACTGAGTAAAACAAGTTCCTACTTAACCATGACAAAAGGACCCACCTCAAGCGAGACAGTCCAACAGCTGCTAAACACTGCTCAGGCAGTGCAGGACAACAGGGAACACAGGAGTGCAGAACTTTTGCAGTGTAGGAATAGAAATCTACATTTAAAATTTCATTGAAATATTCTGCCACAGCACATTACAATTCCTTTAAAAGATTCACCAAGAACTCAACACAGGAGACTATCGTCAACCTGCACAAAACTGAACAAGTTACACAGCCATTTAGGACCTTTTATTAGGAAAGGCAGTAGCAGAAAACTGAAAAAGTCCTAACTCCTAGTAACACACACACACAGAAATACAGCTGAAGGTTAAAAACCACAAAATTCACAACTCTGATTCAAAAAGGTCCTGTCATATCCCTAGAGGATGAGCACTCTGACACAGTATCACCAGGATTACTAGACTCTCATACTCCTTCCTGGACATCTTTGATACTGGCCCCAGTCAAGGGAGAACACTGAACTAAAAAAATCCTTCAACTGTAGCAGATCACCTGAGCAACATAAAATAAGCAACCAGAATAAGACCAAAAAAACATCAAGTAATAAAGGAAAAATAGAATCAATAGCTAGGCAACCCAGATACTGACTTACATATTCCAGGAAACAGCAATGCAGAGCAAAAGACAGTGTGAGTAAGTTTGGTGTATGCTTGTACACATTATTTATACACACTACACCCTCCATGTTAGCAAAAATACAAGGAGCCAAGCATTTTCTGTCAAGCAACCAAACTCTGACAAGTGATAAAATGCTCTGAAAACCAGTTGAAAAACTGAGAAAAAAACAAAGTAAGTTACCAGAATTAAATCTCCAGCCAAGTAAAATATAGGTTAGAAGACATATTATGAAGCTGACCAGCTGAACGCTATAGTAGAGTTTGGCATTTTTTCCATCTCCTATATTTTCTCTCTGTTCCTCCTTCACTTAAAGAAAAATGGGAAATCATGATCTCAGCTCCAATGACTGCAGGTCTGGTTTAACTATAGATATCAATGATAATGTTGTAATACCAAGTCAATCCATCCTTTCAGTAAAGTAATTCCATTATAATTCACAAAAATGAAATTTAGATTTTTAACTACTTCTTTAGGGTAGATACTAGCACATAGCTATGCTTGCATTAATGCTGCTTAAGACAACAACAGGCTGGACTTGAACATACTTGTAAGGCCAGGTCCAGATTTTTTTATAGAAAAAGAGCAGCTCTGGGTAGTTGCCCAGAGTGTGTTGTGCAATTTTACTATGAAAGTAACTATCCAGTTTACATAATGAAAAAAGAAATAGTGTATGTATTTCACAGAATGTTCATGTTCCATGGCAGTGGACATTTTCTTAATGAGCACTGCAAATGTTCTCTTGCAGCAACATTTCAGTTCTGCATATCCTTGTGGATAAACACACACCTGTTACTTGTCAATAAATGCAACAGTGTTCCATGCAAATAATCATGTAGCTGAAGGCAAAAAAAACCTGAACTCTTCATAATTGTCTAAGAAGTTTAACAGCATTCCATACACAATCTGAACTCACAGAATTTAATGGGCAATTGTAAGCTAACAATGTAATGAAAAAACAGGATTGAGTTTCTTCACAAATGGTTCTGGAATATCTGTATGAGCTTTACATAATATCCTCATCACCAAAGTGGTAATCTAAAAAAAATTAGAATTTTTTTTCCTTATATTTAAAAGACCTGAAATAAATCATATTCAACAGTAATGTTTCTCCTACATCAGTTAACAAATAGCAGAGGTGATGTTTAATCAGTAGCTGTTTTTAAGAGAGTATACAGTCATTTCTCTCTGGAAAACATAAAACAACGAACTAAAAATTATTCAAAAGCTGCCTGTCATTTTGCCACACAACTTCATAGCTTTCAAGAGAATATAACTAACTGGGAGGAAAGGTGAATGTGTCAGGATGCAATTAGCAGCTACTTTAACCACTATTAAGTTCCTTTAAGGATGGATTTAGAAGCCTCAAACTATAAATGCCACTAATTAACTGTGCCCTACACAGGTTTTATGTAGAACATTGTTTTAATGTATTAAAGCATTTCATTTTTATGAAGTTCACACAGACGAGCTACAGTTCAGCCCAGATAGCCACAGCCAAATCACTTTAACTCTCCAAAATTCACAGCTCAGTTTCAGCTACGGAAAGAAATCCAGAGAAACCCACACACAGGCGTGCATGCAAACACTTCCCCTCCCCCATAACATCCAACCTTATGCCTCAGTTAACAGGTTCCTTATCTTAAATAGTGCGGAACTAATTTATTACTTAAAGAATTTCCTCGTTTCTAGTCTTCTGCATCATTCACATAGCACAGCTAATAAAAATCATATTCTAAAAAAACCCGCAGTTGTTCGAAACGATTATATGACTTTAGAAAGTAAAATGTATAACCTCTTACCTGAGCATGAAAATTTGACATAGTCGTTGTCTCTATATCTTTCTTTCCCAAAATCTCCATTTTCACTGGTGAATTGGGAAAATTAAACGAAAAGTAGTCTAAAAAGTCAGGTAAATAAGTAGCTGCCCCATGAACAATACCCATTACATAGTAAGCTGCACAGTTTTCATTTTCACTAAAAACCAGACCCACAAACTCTTCTGCAAATCTCTCCATCTCCACAGGAGATAAGTGGGAGAGTTCATTACTGTAGGCATGGATAACTGATGCACCTCCGTTAGGCTGGTGCTCAATATGAATCAGCTGTTTGAACTCCAATGTGTCCAACCTTTTGAGTTTATTTTGAACCCGTGGCTCCTTTAACGAGACAAATGGAAACTCACTGTTCTCTGGTATCTTGGACTCACAGTCCTTCTTGGAATCCATATTTTTCCCATTGAAATCCTTAAGATGATCATCTATGATGCCTTTGGCTTCCTGATCCTCAATATCAGAAACCAATCCTGAGCAGATGGTCTGAATGGACTTGCTGTACATTTTTGGACGCTTCCTCTTCTCATTCTCTTTATGTTTCTTTTTCTTTTTCTTCTTAACTTTTTTAATCTGTAGCTCTTCTGCATTGGTTTTTGGTTTCTCCTTCCCACCTGGGTAAGAAAAAAAGATCTCTTAAGTATCTTCATGCACAAAATACATATTGAAGGTCAGGATTCAAAGTCAGCAAAACCCTCACCGTGGCACACAAAGACCAGACAACAATACCAAGGGTCACAATATGGATCTTCCTGAAAACAAGCAGTAAGACACACCTGCCATGTTCACATCATGACTGACAAACAAGCTGAGGGTGGAGGAGGAAGAAATAAAAAAAAATTTAAAAAAAAGCCAACCAAAGAAGTTGCCCAAAGCTGTTTTCATGATGAATCACAATCCTTAACCATATCCTTTAACTAGTCATCAGGAACTACTACACCAGAAAGTTCAGAGACATCATATGACGGCTGACAACAAACGTTACCAAAGAAGGAGTTTACAAGCGGTCAGTGAATATCAACACATCCCCAGCGAGCTGTTCACCACATGTCACTGCCAGAACGTACCTTGTCAGGTGGCTTTACATGGTTACTCTTCCAGAACTAAGCAAAGTTTGTTGAAATACACGTTGAAACATGTAAAAACTGACCCCTACACTTCTTAACAGAAAAAAAAGAATTTAAACAAAAGCTCAAACAAAAACAAACAAAAAACCTGACCACCTAAACCCAACACTTCACAAAATAGAAACTAGTCTCAGGTTTATATAATATGCAAGCTGAAGTGAAAACAAACTGTAATGGCCTAAAGCCAAAAAGGACTCATTTGAGGATAACATGTTGAAGTGATTCCCAAATACAGAGGCTGCTAGCAGTATCTCATCTCTGAACAACTCTCCTCCACAAAACTTTCTGGATCTCTACATGCCAAGAAGGATAAAACTCAGGCCATTTTTAATTCTGAGACACCTGGAAACCAAGAGAGCAACAATCACTAGAATAACAAAAGGATGTGTAACAAAAAAATGCCAGAAGATCTATAATAAGAAACAGCAGAGACCCCCAAATTACTTACTTGCAACTGGAAAGAGAGAGAGGAAAATCAAAACAGGGAGTGTGGGTCCTTGACAAGACAAAATATTAATCCCTTCAAGGGCCTGAGCTACTGATGCCACTGGCGAGGAAAAAGGCCTCAGGACATGGAACACAGAAAAAGGATTCCAAATAGGATTTTTTTTAAAAAATCACTAGAATTAAGACTTAAAAAAAAAAATGCATACTAACAAGAGTAGAACTTGGTTTTCTAAAAGCACTTCAAACAGAAATTGAAAGATAATATGACTTAAAAAACTGAACAGTTGTTTTGAGCCTTTTTCGCATTCACACAAGCTTATGCTACTACATACACAAGGCAAATTCTGCCAAGAACTCTACTTCATTTTCACACCGGTAGAAAACGGTGTACTTAAAAATTATTTTTAGATACTTTGGGCACAGTATTTCATAAAGAAAATTATATTTATAGTACAATATCAAACTGAATAAGCAAAGGCTGTGAAAATGTTAAATTCATAAGTATTTGTTTGGCCTTCAAATGGGGATACACGATAAACTGACCATCTAAGAGCTCACTGCCACAGCTGGGTAGAGTCCAATCCCCCCTTCTTCTCTGCTGCTGCTCCTGGCACACAGTCCTACATCCTCCCTGTACTGACCGATGCTCATCTGGTTACACGCTAAATCGACTTAATGGCTCAGCAGAAAACTACTTCATTTGCTGCTAGTTTTGCAAACATAATCGGTTCAGGGCATTGTCAGACAGGAACTAGAATATGGAGACCTTTGACCGCAGGCACTGAGGAGCAGCACCCATCCCTCACCAGTGGCAGCAAAGCACTTGGTCTGCTCAGCTCCAGTGCCCGCCGCACCTTCATCTGTACACCCCGAGCTCTGAACAAGGCTGAATTTTTAAGCATAAAAAATTTTTCCCTGCCACACACAACACTACTTTAACACATGTATGAGATAAAGGCCCAAGCTCCTAGCAAACTTTAATAGAAAGTTTCCTAATCTAAAAGTTTTATCTTTTAAATTTAGCACTAAAGTTACACAATTTACCTTTTTAAAGCCAATATTCCAACACATTTAACTGCAGCAGGGATCAGAGTACAATTTTTTCCCCCTGTTTAGGGTGGTGCTGTACAGTGCTGGATCCCAGTACTGCTTTGACATCAACACATCAAACTTGAGAATATTTGTATTCAACTATTTTAGCAGGCAGCCAAAGTTTTCCTGAGGAATACAAACACAAAATGGAAAACTAATTTCTACGAGTAGTATTTCTCAGCAAAGCTTGAAGAGAATTTCACAGGACAAGCGAGGCAATGCATTTCTAGCCTAAGGCCTCTGTTCTGCTAAATTTTGAAGATCCACTCTGAAGCAGGTGTTTAATGCTGCTCAGAAGGCACAAAGACTTCAATAGCAAAGGGAATTAGTTTGCTGAAATCCTGGGATTGCTATCAGCAATCCTCAAGCACTTTCATCTTATCCTTTTGCACTTGCTGTAGAGAGGAGCAGAAACACTCACTTGGTCGCTCCTCTGCTGTATATATCAAAATACTTTGAAAGCAAAAATGTGCTGCTTCTTCCAAAACCAATAATGCTGCTTCAACACTTGGCAAACGGACATGAAAAAAGAATTGTTGCCTTCAGTGTCTCCCTAGAGCAGTAATCAAGTTGTCTCACGCAGAAATACAGAATTTCATGAAAACATCAGCAATCCAAAAGGTTAAATAAAGATCCAAACACTGTTAGGACTGAGCTATCCAAACTAGTTTTGCTTAAAGCACGATTTGGCAGCAGCAGTGCAGGGCTTGATGCAAGCTACCTTATTTCACCTCTCAAGTAGTTCCTAGCAAGGCACGTGCTCCCAAGCCAAAACCTCAAGATAGGTGTTTCAGAGAGTCTTCATCAGCAACCACAGTGAAGGGGTGTACAGACGTACACAGACATACAACTGCTGGAGTCCTATTTGGTTGGCAATATCCACACTGAGTTATAAAACTTGCACTGCAATTTCAAAGAAATTAGAAGAATGGAAATCCGCGTGCATGATTTTTCACGTACGTACACTCTCAGCAGTAACAGAACTACCTTTAAACAACTTTTAATCATCTTCTAAGCAAGTCAGGCCTTACTACTACGAACACTTCTGCCACTGTGTACATCTGTATGACAAGTTGATATTTCAAGATAACTCAGTAATTCTATTTCTTGTGGTGCCACACTATCCCCCTCATTCACAACACAGCACCTATTACTAAGGAATGAGATTGAGAACTGTTTGAATTTTATGGAAGTAGGCTAATGATCTGTTAATTACTGCATGATAAGTACTTGTAATTTAAGATGATGCTAGACAGCCTGAACACTAGTAACTACAGATTCCTTCCAAGTGTGAGTTTTTATAAGCAGAAAACTCAGAAATTAGTTTATTGCATGTTCTGTTTTGTCCATGAGATCATTTGACCCAACATTTTACATAAACAGAGGCCGTAAAAATTTTACTTGATTCAGTTGTTTCAACTAGAGCAGTGCTTCTCAACTTTGCAGTCACAGTCCTCAAAATTATTGAGATGAGGAAGTTCCGAAAATTAAAAAAAAATAATAGCAATGCCAATTTTGGGTTTTTTTCCCCCCACAGTTTTCTAGCTGACAGCTAGTAGCAGAAAGGGACAAACACTTTTAGCTGCAGTTAGTAACTAAAATCGGTTTTCATGTTCTCAGTTTATGGGAACTCAGTCACCAAAACTGAACAGAGCTGAGGAACACTTGGCAGGGAGGGGAGAGGTAGGAGCAAAAAGGAAGGAACAGGACTGTAGAGGAACCTAAACAGAGTTCACATTTCCTAGATTTTCTCTGTTGCCTGTCTGTGTGTTTGTGTGTGCACACGTAACTTCATCTAGAATTGTTGGTGAGTCTGCTTATTCTTGTGTGTGACTTGCTCTAAACTCTATCTGTGGATATAACCCTGCTCTAAGTTTCAGGTGATCCTTGCCATTTTCAAATCTTTATGTCACTATTTTGCTCACTTCTGTAATCTATCTCCAAACATTAATAAACACTTAATTGCTGCTATCCCAAAGCAGTCTAACAAAACTTTCTGTCCACAACAGACACAGAGCCTAGCTGGAAGTCAGGTCCCTAACAAGCGGTGTTCCCCAAGAGTCAGTACCGGGGATGGTCATTCAATATATTCATCAACGGCCTGGACAGAGCGTACCCTCAGCAAGTTTGCTGA